TCAGTGCTTAAAAAAGTCGAAGGCAGAAAATATGAAAGACTTTGATAAGAACAACAAAATCTTAATGGCACACTATTGATAAAAGATAATGTCTCATTTTATCAACCATACTGTAATTCATATTTATCTAATGTTAGCTATTTAAATTAAATACACGTGTTCCAGACTTGATAAATTGGTTAAGAATTTATCTTAAATGTTCTATTAGCTGTATTGATAAATAATTAGCAGTTAATTTTAGGAAGAGGTATTTAGGATTTTCTTGTAATATTTTTAATAGAAATCTAGGCATGCCCTGAGTTATTGATACTTAACTAATATTGAAAATTAGCCTTATCTTTGTAACCATGTTGTGTTTGTGTGTGTATGTGTATATTTCATTATTTAAATTTTCTGTTTTCTTCTCTTCAATTCTTGCCCAGGTGTGCAGAAATTGTTTTTCTTTTGTACATATCTCTTTTGCAAGCTTGTTTTATTGGTAGGCCTTGAAAACAACCATAATCACAGGACAGATATACTGTCAGTGCAATACCTCGCCAAATGAAAAGGAAACATTTTGAGGTGGAAAATAGACATAAAGAAAAAGTGCTGTTTATAAAATTCTTAAATGTGTCATGCACATTTCCTTGTATTTCTCTTTTCATTGCTTAAATTTTTTGCATACTTTTCCTCAAATATTAATCAAATGTAAATAAGCACATTCGTTTCTTTATACTGCTAGCATGCACTATTGCTACAGAATATAAAGGCTGATATACAAATATTTCAGGTACCCTTATGTGTCAAATCTACCTTTGTGGGCTAACCTAGGAGCTGTACTGCCAATTTTATAATGCTTGCTTTTACAGCAAAACTCTTGGAAACAGTTACCTGTACTTGTTTACAGTTCATCTCCTTCCACTTTCTGGAGTCTGTACTAAGCGGAGTTTTGTGCTCACAGTTCTTGTCAAGATCACCAGTGATTACCACAATGTTGTATCCAAGGATCATTTCTTAGTCCTTGTTTTACTTGACTTTTTAAGTATTTGACACAGTTATGTTCTTCTCGAAATGATTTCTTCAATTTGACTTCTGACACCAGTTGCCTCATATCTCACTGGCCACTCTCAGTCCCCTTTGCTGGTTCTTTTTAATCTCTGCTTGTTAATTTTGGAGTGCTGCGGGGTTTCCTCCTGTCTACATTATATTCCAGATGACTCTCAGTACCTAACATATATGCTGATATTGTCAGGCCATATTTCTACCTGAACTCCAAATCCATTGACTGCCTTATCAACACCTTCATTTGGATATTCAATAGGCATTCAGAACTTTCATATTTCAAAATAGGCCCCTGACTGGCACCCCTCCCCTGCAGTCTTTTCTACCTTCAGTTTACCCTATCTCAGTCAATGGCAAGTCCATCTTTCTAGTTGCTCAGGATTAAAACAAAACAAAACAAAACAAAAACCTTGGGAGTGTTTTTAACTTCTTTCTGTTCTTGCTTCTCACATGATAACCTGTTATCAATCTGTTAGCAGATGTCTTTGACTCTACTTTAAACATATTTTCTGACTGACCAATTCTGCCCCTCCTCATCAATACCCTAGCTTCAGGCCACCATCATCTCTTTTTAAGACTGTGTCAGACCATTCCTGTATTACTATAAAGAAATATCTGGGACTGGGTAATTTATAAGAGGTTTAATTGACTCAATTCTGCAGGTTGTACAAGAAGCATAGTGCTGGCATCTGGTTCTGGGAAGGCCTCAAGAAGGTTTTACTCATAGCAGAAGGCAAAGGGGGAATGGGCATGTCACATGGTAGAAGTAGGGGGAGGAGAGAGACAGAGAAAGAGAGAGTAGGAGGGAAGGTGCCACATGCTTAACCAGATCTCTTAACTATTGCAAGAACAGTGCCAGGACAGTGGTGCTAAACCATTTATGAGAAATCTGCCCCCTTGATCCAGTCACCTCCCACTAGGCTCCACCTCCACCAGTGGGGATTACATTTCAACATAAGATTTGGGTGGGGACAAATATCTAAACTATTTCAGGGTCTTGCTTTGTTGTCCAGGCTGGAAGGCAGTGATGTGATCATGGCTCACTGCAACCTGACCTCCTGGGCTCAAGTGATTCTACTACTTCAGTCTCCTGAGTAGCTGGAACCACAAGGCATGTGCCACCATGTCTGCCTTGCCTTTTGTTTTGTTTTGTTTTGTTTTTTGTTTTGTTTTGTTTTGTTTTTGGATAGTGACGGGACCTCTCTCTGTTGGCTCAGGCTGGTCTTGAACTCCTAGGCTCAATCGTTTCTCCCGCCTCAGTCTCCCCAAGTGCTGGTATTGCAGGCATGAGCCAACACACCCAGTCAGCTTGAACTTGTAACTTGCTAACTGCCTTATCCTTAGAACCTAGAACAGTGACTGGCACATTGTAGCCGTACACGTAGTTGTTGAATGAATAAAATTATATTCTAAATTTCATATTATGAATTTAATTTGTGGGACACACTCATTTTAAGTTTTTTTTTTAATTTGTATAAAAATGGAGGAAGGTTTAGTAAACTATGTGGGAACTAGAGGTAAAGCAAAAAAACTGTCTTTAACAGTTCCTAATCACCTATAAATTACGTTAAAGTATTTAATTTAGAATAATCTTTATATTGAAGTATAATGTGCATTCAAAAAATATACAGATCATATGTATATAACTTGATGAAATTTTACAAAATGAACACATAGAAGAACTACCACCCAAATCAAGAAATACGATATTACCAGCAACCCAGAAATCTCCCTGTACTCAGTCATATATTTCCCGCAAAAGTAGGCAGTCGCCACTCTTCTCTCACCATGGAGCACCCACTCCCTTAACATTTAAATAATGTTTTTTTAGACTGGGCTCGGTGGCTCATGCCTGTAATCCCGGCACTCTGGGAGGCTGAGGTGGGTGGATCACTTGAGGTCAGGAGTTCGAGACCAGCCTGGCCAACATGGTGAAACCCTGTCTCTACTAAAAATACAAAAATTAGCCGGGCATGGTGGCGGGCACCTGTAATCCCAGCTACTCGGGAGGCTGAGGCAGGAGAATCACTTGAACCCAGGAGGCAGAGGTTGCAGTGAGCTGAGGTCATGCCACCACACTCCAGCCTGGGTGACAGAGTAAGACTCTGCCTCAAATAAAATAAAATAAAATAAATAAATAATTTTTTAAAGAACAGTTTAGATGCTTAGTAAACTGGAAAGGAAAGTATAGAGATACACCTTACCCCCCTGCCCCTGCACATGCATACCCTTCCCTATGTCAGCATCCCCCATCATTCAAAGTGGTTCATTTGTTACAGTTGATGAATTTGCTTGATGTATTATCACCCAAAGTCCATACTTTACATTAGGGTTCCCTCTTCGTGTTTATACATTCTGTAAGTTTGAACAAATGTATGCCATGCATCCACCTATATTACATCATACATAGTATTTTCACTCCTCTAGAATAAAAATACCTCTGTGCTGTGCCTATTCATCTCTCCGTGCCCTTTAATTCCTGGCAACCGCTGATCTTTTTTACTGTCTCCATAGTTTTGCTGTTTCCAACGTGTCATATGGTTGGAATCATTGCCAGTTGCTATGAATCTTATATAAATGAAAATTTCTTTATATAAATATCACACACGGTCCCATTCCCTGTGTATAAAGGGAATACATACCGGGTGCAGGGGGCTTCTTTTGTTCGAAATGCTTTGAGAGTCATTTCTGTTGCATGTAGGTGGTTGTTAATGTTCATTGTTTTAATATGTTCCATTGTATGAACAAATATGATTTATTTTTCCATTCCAATACTGGTGGATATATGAGTTTTTCTAGTTTAGGGTGATTACAAATGACGTTGTGTAAGTTTTATACTTGTATTTTGGTGTTAAGTGTATGCATTTCTGTAGGGTGTGTACCTAGGGGAAATTGTTTGAGCTGTAGGGAATACATAGTTTCACTTCTAGAAGATATAGACGAAAGATTTTCCAAAGTGGTTGTACTGATCTACACACTTACCATCACTGTGGGAGTTTCAGTTGTTACACTTCTTTCCCAACAGTCTGTACGGTCTGTTTTAAAATTTCTAGTCGTTTTGTGGGTGGGTAATGATACCTCATTGTGAATTAAATTTTTATTTCCCTGATATTTAACAATGTTGAGTACCTTTTCTTACTTTTATGGGTCATTTTGATGGATTATTACTTTCGTTTCTCCTGAGCCTGATAAATAGTGGATTTCTAAGAATGACTAGCTACCATGTAGGACATTAATACAGCACAGTAAAAAAAAGTATTTTCCTTTCATCTATACTGAGATATGAAGGAAGATGTAAACTTATGTGCCTGGTACTGATGACTTATATTTAAGGTATCTGTATTAAGTTGGTATGCAAAGGAGAATTATTTAGGGCTTACTACATTAATTGATTTTATGGTGAGAATTTGAAAGTATACCCAGATGTGTATGAATGAATGCAGTGATTAGAAATTGGGTATAACACTTTTTGGGCAATTAATTTATTGTCTTTAGTGAGCACTTTGTGGTCTCATCTGTATCACCTTAATCTTGTAACATCTCTATGTATTATTTGCACATAGAAGGCATAGAAAAGTAGAGGACAAAGTTTTTCCAGGTCGATTATTACCTATTTTGGAAGTTCCTTCTTAAGGAAGATTTGTTCATCTAGGGAGATTGTATTTTCTGAGAACTTTGAGTGAAGCAATTATTATCTAAAGGGACATATGAACTAATTAATGTAATTAATTCTACTATAAGCATTTATACAGGAGATTACTCTCCAACTGGTCTTGAAGGATAGATAGAGAGGTTAGTTAGATGAAGAACAAAGTAACTAGAAAATAGTCTAGGCAGGAGAAGTAGTGCATGCAAGGGTGTGACATTGGGAGAGGACATGTAATTTCATGCTATTTTTTTGGGCCATTTGGTTCTCATCTGTATTTGTTTTTTGTTTTTATTTTTGTTTTTTCCTGTAGATATTAGGATCAAGGAAGAAGAACCTGATCCTGAAGAGTGGCAGCTCAGTGGTGATTCTACCTTGAATACCAATGACCTAACACACTTAAGAGTACAGGTGGTAGATGAAGAAGGGGACCAACAACATCAAGAAGGAAAAAGACTTCGGAGGGTAGCTTGCACCTGTCCCAACTGTAAAGAAGGTGGTGGAAGGTATGCATACATGAAACATACATATTTTTAAGAGTGCTAATATCATTCTAATTTTTGAAATACTGCATGCTATGTCATTTAATTATGAGAAATTATTCATTACATGATCATTTTGGGTGTGTGTGTATGCGTGTGGCAGAAGTTAGAGAACAAAATATATGGAATTGGATTTTCAGTTCTAAATGTTTTTTAAACTGAAATTACTAGTTTGCTGTTTCAAAAACAGTATAGCAGATGCCATTTAACAGGCCCACACCAATCAGAAATTAGCCTGTTTGCACACCAGCAATGGAATTTGCCTTAAATATAGATAAAAAATTGATTTTTAGGTTGAGAATAGTAGTTACATAAAGATTAAGTTCATCTATGGCTGATAAGCATAAATATTTCCATTTTCAGTAGAAGTGAAAAATAAGCCTTAATAGATTGAATTTTTAAAAAAATGAGATTGTATTTCAATTCAGTCTTTTTAAAGGTAAACATTAAGACAGAATAACATGACTGGAGTAAACTCAAAATGATCAGAGATTATGTTAAATGTGGATGTACTAAGCTTAATAATTAAGAGATTGAGACTCAGATCCTATTTAAAAAAAAAAAAAAAGATCCAGACTGATGTTGATTATAAGGAATACCTCAAATAATTGGCACGGAAATATTGAAGATGAGGGATAGGAAAAGATTTATCAGGCAAGTATTAACAAAAAGAAAACTTGGGTAGCAGAGTTAATATATCACACGAGATGGGATTGAGGTGAAAGCCCCAAATGAGACAGAGATGTATTTCTTGTTAATAATACTAAATTTCCACCAAGAAGATTTAATAGTCACGGTCCCTTTTTTGTGCAGCTTTGAAATATATAGAGCAAAAATGGATAGAACTCTAAAGCCATACTTAACCAAATACCTTGTCATGGTGAAAGTTAACATACCTTTCTTAGAAATGCACTGTTTAAGTAGATAAAATGTACTTTTAATACAGTTAACAAACTTGATCTAATAGAGCTTTTCTATCTGCCTTTGAGTTACACATTGGCCAGCCCTTTGCAGTAATAATAATTGCTAACAACTGGTAACATTGAGAGCTTACCATATTCCCAATGGTGTTAGAAGTGAGACATAGAGAGGTTGAATGACTCTGAAGAGCACGCACAACAGGGATTCGGACCTAGCTTTACCCAGAGCCTTAACCGTTAAACTATGCTGCCTCCCAAGTGACTCTCCTTCTACATCGGATCCTTAGGTATTCATGTTTGTTGTAATTAGTTTAAAAGTTTGTTTTTTGACATATTTTGGTCAATTAAAATTGTGAATTCTAGCTAGGCAGTAACTTTTCTGAAACTCATTTTAGAGGGACTTTTAAGATAAATTATTCACAAAAAATCTAATGGAGGCCTGGCCTTTGTTTCATTTATTCTTTATTTTAAAATGAAAATGTTTTAATTTATGTTTATTAAACTAAGATATGCTCATAAAAATGCAGAAATATAGGACATTTAAAAACACCAGAATCCGACCCCACTTCAAGATAAGCTAGTAACATGTTTGTATATGTCTTTCAAGATGTTACATGTATTTTAAAATAGAATCATCTTCTTCTCACTGTTTTATATGTCTGTTCTTGTTTTGATAATTTTTGTGACCATATTTTCAAGTCTGTATAGTCTGCATCGTTTTTATGACTGTATAGTATTCTGTTGTATTCTATTGTATGGATGTAGAGTGATTTAACATCTTTTGTTGGGAATTTATTGTTATAATCTTACATGTATGTCTTTGCACATTTGTCTGAATATTTTATTTGTATAAGTTGGCAGAAGTGAAATTGCTGGGTTAAAGGTAATTGTCTGCTAGAAAGGCTAGTTTGTACTCTAACCAGCAGTGTGTGAGAGTATCTAGTTTCCCACATCCTTGCCAACAATGAATTTTACATTATTTTTAACCTTTGAAAGTCTGACAGATGAAAAATACCTTAATATTGTCTTATTTAGTATATTTTTAAATTACTTGGTGAGGTTGAGCATTTTTGGGGATGTTATTTTGCCATTTTAAAATTTATTTTTTGAATTTTTGTTTTTTTTTTGGTAAATCTATTAATTTATGTAACTGTCATGTGGAAATATTTTTCCCAGTTTTACATTGCCTTTAACTTTTTCAGTGGTTTACAGAAGGCATTGTTACTACACAAGTAAAGAAACAGTTCCATCACTTACAGCTTGCAAAGCACAAAAATTTTAAGTTGATCAGCCTTTCCTTTATTAGATGCCTTGTTACCATGCTATTACAAGTTTTCTGTATTCTGAGAGTTATAAAAATGTTCATTTATATTTTTTCTAGAACTTTTGTGACTTCATTCTTCAATAGCTCACTTATTCTAAGCAATAAAAATTGAGATTCCTAAGAAAAGAAACTATATTGTTTCTTAGAGCTTATTTGAACAAAATTCAAGTAGTATATGTGTGATAGATACACTTGTATAAATGACAGTTGTACCTAATTAATAGAAGCATAACATATGTAGTAAATCCAGACTATTCTGAAGTATTCTGCAAGGTGATACAGATAGTAGTTAAAAATTTTTTTTAATAATATTTGTCTTTTTTTGCAACCATTTTTTTTTTTCAAAGAATATGGGCAAGATGGCATTTTTAGAGAACTAATTTTATTCATCCTTAGAGAAGTAAATTTTATTTATTTGTTTACCTTTTAAAGTAAGGTGTAAAATATAAAATATTTAAAAATTGTAATTATTTAGCAAATATTTATTGAGCAGAACCAGCTTTCAGAGACTGTTGAAACTAGTGAGAGATAACCTAGTGAGAGACAAATAATTGTAAGTAAAATACGTTCTAGAGGCATGATTGTTAAATAGGTTTTGTATGGATTAAACATCAGTCCATATTTTTAAAATTGTGCACAATCTGTTTTCTTTGTCAGCATTTCAGTTTATGTCCTGTTTTTCCCACCCTGAGCAGAAGAGAGTGTATTTACTTAACTTTTCTTAACCCCTCTACCCACAGTTTAACTTCCACTCTATCTTAGCATTATTAAATTATTGGGAACAAGTTTAGACACTCAAGAATAGAAATGTAAAATTATTAGTTTTTCCTATATTATAGGCGTTAGTGGTGTGGATATTAATCAAGAAGAAAACTTTAAGTCTTTTCTTACGTGAAGTTTGTTGAGAAATTCATTTCAGTTCTCTCCCTTCAAGCCTTCATATAACATGCCGTAAATCCACATCTACCATATCTATATCTTATCTTGAATCAAATTTTCTTTTTAAATAGAATTTTGGGCCTGGATGTTGAGCTTTTTCCTTAAATTATATATGTGTGCAACCCACCCCTATGTTTTTTCTTTCTTAGATGCCTATCCCATTTTCAAATAATATTTCTTATCTCCTAATAATTCAGTTAAAAATACCTTCCCTAGCTTCTTGCTTCTTTGAGAACCCAGATTTGTTGCTGTTAATTTGTTAGTCTTGTGCTTTGTTAGTGTTCCCATGCTAAATTTTGCTAGGTTTGTGAAATACACTTTTGAGTTTGTAAAAGCGCGTTGATTGACCTGAGTGGTAGGCTTAGAGGAGAGGCATGAAATCATGAGTACACGAGTGAACTGAATTGGGTTCTCTGTGAAATTGCTATGGTGAACACGATATGTAAAATTGGTTTGTACACCAGTAGCCACAAACATTGCTGTTTTTCTTAGGGCTTTTTAAATAATAAATTTAAAAATCTAAATTAAATGGAATCAATATTGGCTTTGGTTAATGAGACTTTGGCATTGCAAGGGAGCCAGAAAAACCTGTTTCACTCAACTCAGCTCTTTGAAGAGAGTTGTAGAAATTGGGGGTGGACTGGAGCAGAAACTAGAATTGTGTTAGATTATGACATCCTTGCCCTTGAGACAACAGCATGACTCCTCCTTGTCTTTACTTATGCTATTCCTCTGCCTGGAATGCCTTCCCTCCTTTCTATCTAAATCCTACCCACCTCCTCCACGAAGCCTTCTCTAACTACTGGAGCCCACATTGATGTCTCCCTGTTCAGAACACCTATGGCATCTAACAGCCAGCACTGCACCGTTTAGCACTGTTTGTCCTATGGCAATTTCACATGCTACTGAGTGTGAGTACATTAAAATATAAATGTGGGGAAATATGCATTTTTCCAGTAAATTTGAAAAACGATAGGTGTATTGTATACAGGAGGATTTACAGGCTGTAGAAAGTTTTACAGGATATGACTAAACTGTGAGACTGGGGGAGGAGGGGAGTTGGGGAGGGGGCTAAATGTACTTTTTTAAAAAAAACTCAGAAACATTGTAAAGTTTATAAAAGTTGTTTTGTCCAAAGTGTCATGTTTTTTAAAAATAATTTATTCAGTAACTAGCCTAATTTTTTAAAATTTGTTTTAAAAGGTTGAGAAATAACATTTTCTGTAGTGTTTAATACTATTCAGATTATCAAATTCTGGGATCAAAAGTTTTCTTCTTGCTTAGGCTAAGATACCTCTGTTCACCCATCTAATCTCATATCTTCTAAACCCTGCTCTTGGTATCAAATACTGAAATGTAATAAATGTCAAATTTGGTGATGTAGAGAAAACTGTATTTTATCTCTTGTGTCTAATTTTGGCTTTTACATGGTTAATATAATGGGAATTTTAAATGTAAAGATAATTTTGATTTATATTTATTTCATCTAATGCTAAGGGAGTTCAGACCATTGCTTTAGCTAGATTTTAAAAAAAGCTTTCTCCAAGTCAGTGTATATTCAGGGTGTGGCCACACAAATATGAATAAATACTCTTAAATCATGTTAAAGTCTGCTAAAGCTTCCTGTATCTTTTAATTGTACCTGTGATCAGTTATGCATTCATTCTTTGGTTTAAATATATTTTTGATTATCTGACACCATGACTTTTGAATACAGACCACATTTAGTTTCCTATATAATTAATTGGATAAGGCTTATGCGTAGAATTTGTGAATGGTTCTGATAGAAGAATAAATAGCTTTATTGTACATTCTTTACATATGAAATGTCCTTTTAATTACATAATTCTTGAGCATATTTACATTTGGACAGCAATCACATTAATTCGGGAGTAAGGTTAATATATAAAATGTATATGCCTGAAATACATAAATTTTCATTTAAACTGATTTTAAATGGTTTTGGTTTCTGATTGACTTCGTAATGATAATGTCTTCCTTATTTAAAATTCAACATGGGGATATATGATATAAATGGTAATGTCCATTTGAATATTTTCATATAAGGTATATATTATTCTGTGTGTGTTTTTTAGAGGTACCAATCTTGGGAAAAAGAAGCAACACATTTGTCACATACCAGGATGTGGTAAAGTCTATGGGAAGACCTCACATCTGAGAGCTCATCTGCGTTGGCATTCTGGAGAACGCCCTTTTGTTTGTAACTGGATGTACTGTGGTAAAAGATTTACTCGAAGTGATGAATTACAGAGGCACAGAAGAACACATACAGGTTACTAATATTTACTTTTAACAGACAAAAATGAATTATAGGGCTACATAACTGCCTTGACATTTTTTTTTTTTAATTAGCATTTCTTACTGAATTGAATCTTTAAAATACAGTGAATTACATCCAGTTTTTACCTTTAGGAACACCATCTTAATATCACTAATTCCAAAGAACAAGTCAGTATGGCTCATCTTCTAAAATAAAGTTTTATTTAAGTAGACTTTGGGTAGCTTTTGTTGACATTATTGAATGCTTTAAGCCACATTTATGCTATTTTTATTCTGTTAACATTTTTAATTAGTTATCAGCTTTTACTCTTGATCTATCCTATTCTTTTCTTTCCCCTTAACACTGTAACAAAAAATATTTCTGTTTCTTCTGATATATTTGGGCATTTCACCTTTTCTTTTGTTTTTAGTATCTCGGAGGTAAGGGAAAGGTATTTCACCAAGGAGTAACCAAGGCAATGTTGATGTGAAGACTTTCTCTCATCATATTATTTTTACATAGTGTTGTGTGGTTGTTAAATGAAATGGACCTATGACTGATCTACACTGAAACCTAACAGTATTAACTTAGAGAGAGATAGTTTTCTCCTACTACCATGTAAATGATTAAAGTGCTCATCAGTCTATGCTCAACACTGGAGAATTGAAAAATATGTATTTACAATCCCTAGAGAGCTTGGAAGAAGCATGGTGAAATGGAGAACAACATGGATTTTGAAGTCATCTGGATTCCAACTCAAGTTCCCTATTAGGTTAAGCGAATAAACTCTCTCTGACATTGCTTCACATCTCCTACTTTGGCCCTTCAGTATTGTATAAAATTACCTATGAGGTCTGTAGTAGTACACAGATGCTCTAATTGTTTTAGTTCCTGTCTCTCATTGGGTAGGTAGAGAGATGAGATTAACCTATATGAAACTGCAACAGACAAAGTAGATAAGGCTGCTGGGCATGCTGGCCCATGCCTGTAATCCCGGCACTTTGGGAGGCCAAGGAAGGCAGATTCCTTGAGCCTCAGGAGTTTGAGACCAGCCTGGGCAACATGGTGAAACTGTGTCTCTCCTAAAAAGACAAAAAATAGCCAGGCGTCATGGTGTGTGCCTGTAGTCCCAGCTACTCAGGAGGCTGAGGTGGGAGGATTGCTTGAGCCCAGGGGGCTGAGGTTGCAGTGAGCCATGGTCATGCCACTGTACTGCAGCCTGGGTGACAAAGTGAGATCCTGTCTCCAAAAAAAAAAAAAAAGGTAGATAAAAGATTTTGCATTGCAGTCTGCTGTTGAAAAGGCTCAGAAACAGGTAATTATTGCTTGGGATAGTGAAGTATGGGATAATAGACCTTACGATAGCCCTGTAACAGAATTTTCCTCAGTAGGTTTTTATCAGCAGGTTGTAAAAAGGAATAATGTAAAACGGAGAAAAAGGTCAGTGATCAAACAAGTGTAGGAAATAGTGGGCTAAAGTACCTTCAAGGCAGTACCTCTTAAGACCTTTAAATACTAGATGGACAGCTTGCATCTATAAATTAGTGATGGTAACGTGTGTAGCATTTCCTAACCTTGTTTGATCATTGTGCCGTTTGCCATGGAGTACCTCTCAGGACTAATGTTACAAGAGAAACTGGGAAATACTTTCCTAGAAAAATGGTAGTATGTTAATAGAAGAAGTGAGAGACCCCCCCCCCCTTTTTTTTTGTAGCGGTGAATGAGGATGAGATTTTACATAACATTTCAATTAAGTAGGATTGAGGCACATTTTAAAGTTCCTTGTAAATTAGGCAGTGGACCATCTAAACTGTTACATCATCTGCAAGTTACCCTTGCATTTCCATATCACTTAATATAATCTTGAAGTTTTCTGATGTAATAAAATTTGGTCTTTAAGGTAAATAATGTCGAGAGAGACAGACTAGGATGTGACTGCAATATAGTTCAAGCATGAGGTCTGATAAAGACCTATGTAGAGTAGAGGTGCTAGAACAAAAGATACAGGGTAAGACATTTTTGAAGAAAAGAATTAAAATATTTCCTAGATTTATTGATTTTTATTGATTTCTCTCTGAATTCCTTTTAGGTTGGCCTTTTGTCTTTTTTGGTAATCCTCTTGCAGAGTCGGTCTTCAACGTAATAGAAATTCAGTCTGTCTTTTGTATTTAAACTTATTCATGCTGGGAAATAAATTTAGGCATCGGGTTTTATCAACTTTAACATCTTGACATTAATTATCCTTGTTCTTGATTGTTGTAGCTGAAATCAAGTCAGCTAGCCAGATTCATTTTTTCTACGGATTACTTACTCTTTTTGGATCTCAAGCTTATCGTGTCATTTCTTTAATCTAGAAATACCCTGTTGCTTTAATTATATTTAAGAGTTGAAGGTTTAGTGTCATGAACATGGCACGTTAGTATTTTAGTTATAGTGTGAAAGAATATACTTTTATTTAGACTTTAAAATGTGTTGTAGATGATTTTTTTTTAGCTGGCATCTTAACACAGGTATTTAAAACAGCATAGTTGAGATATTAAAGTTTTATTTGAATATCCATCTATTATATAATACATATTTGAATTTTGCTATTCATCAAAAAGTAAAGATGATTTATTTTAAGGAGAAATATTCTGTAAGAGAAATCTGGCAGGGGTAGCTTGTAAAAATACAGTTTTAATAGACCCCTGCTCCCATCCTTACCTGTCAGCATTGACTGACTTTATGTTTTGGGGGAAATGATTGAGCTGTTAAAGTTGAATTTTTAAAACCAAGTAACAATTTTTTTCCTAACAGGTGAGAAGAAATTTGTTTGTCCAGAATGTTCAAAACGCTTTATGAGAAGTGACCATCTTGCCAAACATATTAAAACACACCAGAATAAAAAAGGTATTCACTCTAGCAGTACAGTGCTGGCATCTGTGGAAGCTGCGCGAGATGATACTTTGATTACTGCAGGAGGAACAACGCTTATCCTTGCAAATATTCAACAAGGTTCTGTTTCAGGGATAGGAACTGTTAATACTTCCGCCACCAGCAATCAAGATATCCTTACCAACACTGAAATACCTTTACAGCTTGTCACAGTTTCTGGAAATGAGACAATGGAGTAAATATTACACAAATACTTATTCATTGTGGTTATTTTTATACAGTAGTGAGAAGAATATTGTTCCTAAGTTCTTAGATATCTTTTTATTGATGTGCAAAAATTTTTGGATTGACAGTAACTTGGTTATACATGACACTGAAATGCCTTACTTTGTATGATATTCCATAGTATATTAAAAATGGTAAAATTGCATGGGTTTTGTAGGTACTTTTGGAATCTAGAAGAAATGAAATTTTACCAAGTTATATAAAGAGAAAATTGAATTTAACAATGCGAATGGTAGTCTAACCAAATGCATCAATCCTGTGTGGTTTAGTGTAAAAATGAGAACATGTTGGTATTTATCTATTGTAAGATAAAAAAGCTGGTGGGTGAAAGAAATCATGTTATGATAAAAAATTTTGTAATTTTCTTGATGACTGGAATTTTTATTATGCATAACTGACAAATCAAGTTTCCAAGCAAATGTTACATAGTGTAGGCTTTACTTAGCTTATCAATTTGTCATTTTGAGGCTAATTATTTTAATTAGGTTAACTATGTACAATATTTTAAGCATTACTCTTGTAAGATTTTGAAAACTACATTTTAACATGGAACTCTAGGGATAGTCACCTTTTAAATCCTGTTGAAAAGCCATGTTTAAGATTTAATTTGCCAAAATAATGTCTTGTTAATATTCTTTCAATAACGAAGTTGGGCAATATAACCAATGTTTGAAAAAGTTTAAAATGTATAAGTTGAGGCATTTGGGTGGTAAGAGAATGTTATAGTGAATTATCCCTTTTCTTGACTATTGGAGGACCAAAAAAATAAGGTGTATTGCGTCTTAGCAGTGATTTTTATCCAATCTTGTTTCCAAAAACCATATGTCTCCCAGGGCCTTAAAAGCCATCATGTAAATTACCAGTAAAGTATAACATATGCAAACATAACAAAATCACTTCCATAGTGACGATACTCCAACCATATGGATATTAGTCATAGAAAAACTAGAGGTTTTATGATATTTTTTTAAGTCTTTTTTTTTTTTTGTCTAGGTAGTCAGTCTGCACTTAAATATCAATCATTTTCCTTTTTTGCTTCTTCCCTTAAAATTTATATGTATCCAGTACATTTAATTGAGAAACGTATGTTTTTTATTATGCTGTATTTTCTTTTTATTTTTTAATTATTGTTTATATTTTCAATTTAAAAATGTACAAAATAAAGTTACATTGCTGGTCTTGTAAGAGCTATACAGTTTTCCTAAATGTATACCTGTAACTGCAGCAGTTCACCTATTTCAAAAATTTGGAATTGTGTTCATTTGTTATTCTTAAGACCACCTCAAATTTAAAGGCTACCTTATTGTACGTTTAAAGTGTATTATAACAGTGTGGTAGTTAATAAAACACTATTTTTTTTTCTTTTGAGTTTGTTGTATTCCTATGCATTAAAAATATTGCAGTGGTGTGGGGTAAGAGTTGGTGGTTTATTTTTCTTCAACTTGGCTTTTTATTTTTAGATTCTTGATTTTAGACACTGAATTGTAAACAGGCATGTTTATTTGAAGAAGAGATATATGGAGACACTGGTCATTTACTAATTTTTTACTTAAATAAGATTGAGCTTATTAAATACAATTTTTGAAAAAAAGTCTTAGTGTTAGCCCACATTGATTCATATCAGTTTTATCAGTACTATTTTGCAAATTTTTTTTGTTTCCCGTTTTAAAGCAATGCAGAATATTTTGATTTATCGAAAACCCGAATTTACGTGTAAGCTCCTGAAAATGATAAGACAAGCGTTGGTAACCATGGCAGGAGTTACTTGAAAAAGTTGTGTTTTGAATTTGCATGTGTTTGATCATGATAAAGGCAGAGTAGGAAGAAAGTATTAATGTGATTGTGTATTCTAGATATTTTAAAGTAAAAATCAAATTTATTAACACATGTATACAGTGGGGGTAAATATGTCCATTTTCTGTTTTCCAGGCCCAGTCTGACTCTGTCTGTAATAGCTGATTGCATTGGAGAACTCTAGACACGCATAAACATGGACAGTTTTTCTAAATGTGAGACTTAAGCTTGTGATGTAAAATGGGAAGTTCTACTTGGAATAATATAAATGAACCACTAGAATTTACAATTATTTTGAAGTTACAGGGATTAGATTTTGAATCTTTAAACTCCTTTAGGTAATTTTTAGAATTTTTAAATTAAGATTAATGTGAAGAGAATGAAGTGAGCAGCAGGTGGTTCATTTGAGCAAACTGCCCATTAAGTCAAATTAAACCATTTGAGTGATAGTAGAGATGTTTTAAGTAATACTGAATTTTTACAGTAAGTTTATGGTGTACTTTGAATCCATAGGTGTCCATGCATATGTTACGAATTCATACAGAATGAATGCAATGAAGAAAATAAGTAGGCTTGAAAATTATTTAAATTTTTAGATTGTTTTAGTGCCCACTAGGAATATATTAGTGAACTTTGGAACTTTTACCAAAGTTATGTAACCTCGGTGTAGATAATTTTAAATATTTCTATTTTTATATTTTAAAATGTTGAATATACTCTGGAAACAACATTTGAAGATTTGCTCTGATGTCAACTTTTTCTGGTTATAAAATCTATTAATATTGTATATGAGTATAATATTTCTCAGGGTAGGTATACTCTAATAGGTGTTAATTGCTTTATTTTTGTAAAGGCTAGAGTTAGTGCATATTGAATATATTTATGTACAAATCCTATTGTAACATTTAGTGGACTCGATTATCTGTATACCTCAAATTTTAATTTAAGAAAATAATCACTTGAAGAGCATCTAATTTTCTATAGATTGAGGCTTAATTATTGAAAAGTGACTCAACCAAAAAGCACATAACCTTTTAAAGGAGCTACACCTACCACAGAAAGTTGGATGCCCTGTAAATAACTTTGGTCTTTCAAAATAGTGGCAATGCTTAAGATACTTAAAAATACACATAACATACAAGCTGAAAGCATGTCAAACCTATTTCATAGAAAATAGTTCTGAAACAGTATTGTTCATCAGAAATTGCTGGGGAGCATTTTAAAGATTCCATAGGCCTGGTAAGCCGCCTCAGCTTACTAAATCAACATCTCTGGGGATGGAGTGTATATGTGTTTTGAAACAGCTGCTCAAGTGGTTCTGTTAAACACTACTCTGTTACAATCACTAAAAATAGAGCAAGCATCCCCTTAGGCTCTTGATTGTAGTTTAAATTCCAGTACTGCCTACTCGAGATCCAAAAGTTTTGTTTTTTGAAAAATTTGTATTGTGTTCAATATTTGAAATTTGGGGTTGTTGCATAAATGATTATGGAATAACATTTGGTTTTAAAATATATAAACTGACATGTTATGCTACCTGTTAAAGAATTTGGTTTTCAGTTTTAATTATATGAAGCTGGTAACAATCGTTTTCATTGTAAAATAATTATTTTTCACTAAACAGTATGTTTAAAACTTACTGCCATGAATGAGTACTAAGTCTTTTGTTGTCTGACAATAAGCACGAAACAAATTAATTGATATCTTGGGTACAAAATTTGATATTTTAGTGAAATCACAGTTTTATTTAGTGTTGAAACAAAAATACATTGACCCTTTGCCTTGTTCAGACAGATTTGCATATGATGTAAATATATATTAGTGGCAGATGTAAAGTACTGTAGAAACCTAAAAGAGGGAGAATTCTGCATGAAGTCTAGGAAACTCAGCAGCAGAAATGGCGTTTGCAAAGCTACAGTGTGGTATGTTGGGTGATGGGGGTACTTTGTGAGGGACAGAGTGGATAAAATTTTAAAGAGGGGCTGCCAAATTGCAAAGGAGAAGAATTTATTTTTTTTATGAGTGATTCCTAGTTTTTTTGGGATCCTACACCTCCGCAGAAAAATTCATTCAAGTCCAGGGTTTGTTGTTTGTTTTTTCCCTATATTGGACAGGGTCTATCTGTGTCACCCAGGTAGGAGTGCAGTGGTGCAATCATGGCTTACTGCAGACTCCACTTGCTGGTCTCAAGCAATCCTCCCCACTTACGGCCTCTTAAGTAGCCTGGACCACAGGTGCGCACCACCATGCTCGACTAATTTTAATTTTTTTTTTTTTAGAGATGGGGTCTCACTATATTGCCTAGGCTGGTCTTGAATTCCTGGGCTCAAGTGATCCTTCCACCTCTGCCTCCCAAAGTGTTGGGATTACAGGCGTGAGCCACCACGCCTGGCCAAATGTGCGGAGTTGAATACACGTAACAAAATTGGAGTCTAAAGGGTATACAAAGTTTTTTTTCCCCCCGTTGCTTTTATTTGATGTTATGAAGTCTTGATGATACGAATATATTTTTAAAACTGTAAAAGCTGTCATGTATATTGTTATGTAACAAGTCATGCCACTTCATTGTATTAAATATGTTTAGGATACAGTTTTTGATGTTAAGAATGATATCCTGAGAAGGCCTATCTCCTTCAGCCCTTCTCTCCATTTTTCACCTTTTAACTCTTCTAAATCTATGCTAAGCTACATACTAGATGTGTGATATTGATAGTTTTCTTACCTTAAAATGTGATTTTCATCATTCATGAAGAGGCTAACAATAGTACTCCCTCTTCATAGAATTGTTGTATTAAAATTTAAGCAATTTAGCATAGTGCCTGACTTATGGTAGAGATTCAAATGGTAACCTTCCAATGCCCTCCTCCCCCTGTAACTCTGGAGATTCCATTTTTCTGTAGTGAAGTGTTTTAGAATTTTCATTGTTTGACTATGGTTCATGCATTAATTTTTCCAAAATGAGGGGGAATCTTGTTTATAATGCAAAAATGTGAACAGTTGAGACCTAAATTGATAGTGGATAAAGTGTCTGAAGTGACTGCCCTATCAGAAAAGGATGGAATAAGAAGAAAAGACTGAGGCACATAGATGTGTATTTTCTTGAGGATATTATACCCCTATGTAAGATTCTATCGTATTTGAACATTTCTAAAAACCAGCCGGAGAATCTTCAGGTTCATTTTGACTGAAAGATAAAAAATTTAGTATTGAAGTGGTTTTTAAGGTTGGGAAAGGCCATCAGAGAAATGCAGTCATTTCTCCCCACCACCCTTCTCCCACAAAAAAAGTCTAAGCCTCCGATTAATAGACAACAGGGAATATAGGAAGTATTGGCTTAGTGACCTTTTAGGATACCTGCCAACTTACATCCCTTTTCTGAGCATTACTTTCTGCCACCTTCCATGAGGAGCTGTTCAGAAATCAGACAAGGAGTGGACATCTGGTCAAAGTTGAGCCAATTAGATGATTTCTCCTGAGAATTTGGAATTGGAAAACTGATGTCTTGGAAGGTCACATCTGGAACATATATGGGAGGCAGAGAAAGCAAAGATGACATTCAACCCGAGAAGAAAAAGAAAATGGCTTTCTTGATTCCTGATAATTTGGCAGTGTTTGTTGCAGTGTCTTGCATTTCACTGTCTGCATTTCATCCTTCTGGGGATCCACAAGATAGCCTTAAAACCTTACAGAGAGACCCCCCAACTTAGTTTTTTCTTAAGCAAATCAGTAGGGTGTTACTTGCTACCAAATAATGCCAACTAAGACAACTGAGATACAGTATATTCTCATAAAACACCATAGTTAGGGTTGGTGACTTGATCCTATAGAAAAGGGTCTCCAACCCCTGGGCCACAGACCGGTACTGGTCCCTGGTCTGTGAGGAACCAGGCCATACAGCAGGAGGTAAGGGAGCGTTCCTGCCTGAGCTTTGCCTCCTGTCAGATCAGCCGCAACATTAGATTCTCATAGGAGTGCGAACCCCATTGTGAACCCCACATGCGAGGGATCTAGGGAGTGCCCTCCTTAAGAGAATCTAATGCCTGATGATCTGAAATAGAGCAGTTTCATTCTACAACCATCCCCGCCCCCCCCGTCCCCCATCCATGAAAAAATTGTCTTCCACAAAACTAGTCCCTGGTGCCGAAAAGGTTGGAGACTGCCATTCTGAGAAATACCAACAAAACGTCACGTTTATTGTCTGCCAAGTGAGTCAGATTTAGATGAGGCAGAACTTAGTATAGAGCTGGGATGAATCAGAAAGGGTGGGCCTTGAAACCTGGTAGAATGTGTCCAAGAAAACTGATTAAAAGGCTTAGAAGTCCCTCTACAGTTTCAGGACACCCTCTTAACAGATGGCTGTATCTTTATCTGTGGTTGGTCTTGTGGAATACTGACCTTCTGCCAGCATTAGCCCATGTTTCTATCTCACACCACATCGTGTATATTTTCATTGTGTATTTGGACTCAGAATAAGTTTGGGCCTTTTAATTATGGTATACCCAATTACTTAGTCCTACTCACACCCTGATCCTTTAAAAATTCTTGATTGTGTTAATTGCATTTTTCTCAAGTTT